AAAATTGTCGAAACTAATGGCGAAATTATTGATTTTAATTATATAAAATTGTTGCATTATATTTAACAAAAGAAGGTTTACGTTTGGGTAGCAAATTAAGAGTGCCCCATATGGATTGGAGAAAGACATGAAGGTTTGTACACTTAAACGAATTTAGAAATTACAAATACTAAGTAACATAACTATTAATTGTATAAGGAAATTTGAGAAACTGTTCTATTTACTAAATTCTCGAAATCTTTTTAGATTTCAATGGAAAATGCCTTTGTCTCAAAAAACGGAGACTATATGGATGTCTGAAATATAAGCTGCAACAGAATGTATAAAGAAACTTAAAACCTTTGACAGCAGTTATGTTATTCAGTGACCCAAGAAGAATAGTGGTGTTCTAGACTTTGTTTTATAAAGTTTGTAATAGATTTATATGACAAATATGTAAATTGTTAATATATAAACTTAGTACAGATCACTTAGAGCTATTTTTCTGCAGTATATGGAATAGTATTAGTTTAATTGTATAATGCAATTACATTTTATTTCTAGGGCTAGGTATGAATGGAACAATAATCCTTTATCTGTAAAAAATTTCCATTCTATAGACTACGATTACTTCTGTACCATGACATTAAGAATCTTAATGGCTATTGTATTCTTTAGGACCCCATCAACATTTTACAAATGACACTAAAAAGTACAACAACAGTGCTTATAGTTTATTACTACTCTTACTAAATATAACTGAGAGAAACTTCAGAAGATTCAAAATTCTTGTATAAGATGTACTTGTAATATTCCTTATAGAAATCATGTTTCTCCGTACATTCGCAGGTTAAATAAATATAAAATTTAGGAAAGCGTAAAATATCTTTTTTTAATGTTTAAAATTCCACGATATCTTACTAAAAAGATCAACTTTACACAATGTAAATTTAAGAGTGAACACTTTTACAACCCCAATGCATAGAACTTCAAAATTCCAAGGTTGTTTTAGATACGTAGCACCATTATTGTTAAATTCAGAACTTAATAATTTGAATTTTAATCATTTTGTTAAGACTATTAGGCAAGTTCTTATTTCAAGACAATGATTTAATTTAAAATAATTATTTTGTGAACATTTTTTCTGTTATAATGAGGATCAATTGAAAAACGGCTCAGCCGAATTCATTCATTTTGAGACACTAAAGTATTTATAGTTGCTCAATAAACATTATTTATTTATTTAAATATAGTCAAAAAATGTACGGTATCTTAAGCCGACGCATCAGGCGTAATAAAGATGAGACGCTTAATTGTATTTGGATGTGAGAGCGATAAAGATAGTAATTGATTTTACCATACCCTTTCGATGGCAAGCATGGGCTGTTGCGGTCCACACTCATTCGTATTATTTTATTTCTCTCTTTTCAATGGCATTGTGTTCCATACCTTTTTCCTGGAGCCAGGATGGAAAAGTTAAATTATTGTATTATACAGAATGTAATTAAGTTGTTAAATATTTCAGAAAACATTGTTTATATTGCAAAAAAAAAATAAAATATTCTGCTGGGCAAGATACACTTTCTAGCGCAACAGCTAATAAAATTATTGAAAATTATTTTTTAGGACAAAATAGGGTAATATAAAACAGTTTCGGCTGTAAGTACTAGTGTAAAACTGTCGAATTATCTTAAAAAAAAGTATTTTTAATCACATAATCAATTACCTGCTAAAAAATGTTAATTTTCAATTAGTTTAAAATAAAAACTTGTTTCGAGAAATCAATAATTATAATTATCTAAAGAGTATCTACCCTTATAGGAAAATCACATATCAAGATTAATAAAAACATTAAAGACATTGTTGAAACCCCAATGAAAATTTAAAAAACTAAATTTGTATTTTTTGTTCCTCATTAACTTTTATTAAATAGCTTTTTTTTTCATTTATAATTTATTAGTGCCATTTTCTAATGTAATATAATTGTTTTATGTTTAATAACCCAATATTAACATATATTTACTGTAGTATTTATTACACAAGATAAAAAAAAGTAAAACCCTTCGCACTTGGCAAAATCGAAGCTTTGTTACTACTTATTCTCTCACAACCTCCGTCTATGTAAGCGGGTGAATTTACCGCCTTTTCAGATTCCTTTAGTGACCGAAATCGAGAATGTCTATTTCTTGCTGATGAGTCCTAATAACGACAAAACCGGTCCAAGAATAACGTTATCTATGGTAAGCAAGAACAAAGTTTGAATATTGAAATATGAATTTTTTAACTTTGTTGTTTTCTTTGGATATAATTCAATGTCTGCTGCGGAATTAGCCAAAGAAGTAGTTGTTTTTTGAAGGAAAACGTTAAAGTTTGGATTTATTTCCCTTTTTTTAATAAAATATTTGACTACATGCTTCTTATAATATCTAGTTTTAAATTTACTCTATTCATTAGTAGGAATATGCCCATAATCTCTTATTTATTTTGATTGATGATTCTTAATGTATGCTCAAGTGCATGTCATAGTACTGTGGAACGATATTACAAATATTTTTGAATTCCTTAGTTTTTTAGTTTTTATATAAAATGAAATACTTTCAAGATCTTGGCAATCCCATGTAATAATTACATACAAAATTACAAATTTTAATATGAAAGTTTTGTTTAAATCACGTGATTCCAGATTTATTTGCTACAAAATGTATGACGGCCTTAGATTGTTGTATTAATTTCATATAAAATTGTATTTTAAATATATTCTGTTTTTATTTAATTTAAAATAAAGTTTCAAAAAAAACTATGTTTTTTATTTTTAGAAATCTCTTAAAATCCACAAAAAAAGAAAATTAAAATTCTATTACGAGTTTTTAGGGTTATTACTTCTACTGTATAAGTAAATTCTTAATATTTTCGAATTATGTTTAAATGTGTTAGTCCTATCCTGTACACTTCAATATGCAATCAATGCGCAAGTGCGTAGGTCGCTTTTTTTGTAAAGATGGCCGCCTTCAATTCTATGTGCCTGATGAAAATGACATTTCCTATCTCCTTTATCGATGTCTGTGGATATGACACATGATTATCACAAATGTCAACGTCAACCATAACAACCGATGAAAAAGTTTGGTCACTTTGGTGACAGCTGGTACTAACCGCATTTCAGGAACATTGTCCCGTAAATCTACAATTTTCAGGAATTTGACATTTACGGAACGCGATTTTACTAACCGGGTTAACCAAGGTGATATACGGAACAGCAGGCCAGTTTGTATATGTTGCTTTCAAACAAAAAATTAAAATATTTGACATTTACTTATCTATTTTTATTTATTTATCTGAGATTTCAACATTATTGTGCCGCGTTTGAGAATCCACATCGGATGCATTTTTTACATCTCGAGCGTTTTTTTATCCACATCGGACCACATACTTAAATAGGTATACGGCGTAAAACCCTCTGCGCATCTTTACTGAGTGTTTAATAAAAGAAGATAGAAATGACCGCCATTTTTATATAAACAAACTGAAACTTATGCAACCAATTTATCTTTCCATCTGTCAAAAGTGTCAAATTTTAATGTGTGTGAATTTGGTTAAATTTTTTTGTGTTCTTTTAGAATATTTTCATTGTGGATATTATTTTCTAAGTGTATAAACGTTTTATTTATTTTACCATTTGTGAATAGACTTTAATCCCAGTATAAGTTCTCTATACTGGGCCAATAGACTGTTGCCAATAGATTCAAATGTTACATTCCACAAGTAAGTAATAAGATTTAGCAAAAATAAAGGATATGAAAGAAGTGCCTTTATATTATTTTAGGGTTCCAAAACAAGCAGATCGTTCCTTATTGTGGTTATCTGCCATATAGGTAGTGATTGGACAAAATTTCTTTTAAGTTAGTACAATTCACTGCAGAATCAATAAGGACGACCCGTTCACTAAAAATTTGTAGCTTTTAGAAATTATACAAGAAGAAAGTAAATTGTTTAAAATAAAACAAATATGCAACCATCAATTTAATTTTAAAGTATCCTGGAAATTTTAATATTTGTAACTTCCTCTACTGTACTTTTGTCATTTAAAATTAGTATTTAATCTATTATTTGTCGGCCTATTATTTATCAGCCTAACATGTATTTTTAAACATTAAAATATTTTTTTTTGTTGTAGAATAAAAATTTAATTCAGATATAATATTGTATTATTTCTTTTAAAAAATCTGTACAAAATGATGTATTTAAAAGTGAAAAGACCTAGACATCTGCAACCAAGTTTTCAAATTGCTGTATTTTTGGTCACCTATGTACTAGTAATCTTGTATAAAAATGGCCGCCCCTTTGTTAAACAGGTCGGACGTCTCTCTTGCTCCGTATACCTATTATAATGCTGCGTTTGAGAATCCACATCGGATGCATCTGAGATGTAAAAAATCTTTGATCACGTGATTCAGTATACGTAAATTGCTGCGTTTGAGAATCCACATCGGATGCATTTTTTACATCTCGAACGTTTTTTTATCCACATCGGACACATCTGTCCCATTACATTTACGTATACTGAACCACGTGATCAAAGATTTTTTACATCTCAGATGCATCCGATGTGGATTCTCAAACGCAGCATATGTAATGGGACAGATGTGTCCGATGTGGATAAAAAAACGCTCGAGATGTAAAAAATGCATCCGATGTGGATTCTCAAACGCAGCATAAGTATGTGCATCGGACACATCTGTCCCATTACATTTGCGTATACTGAATCACGTGATCAAAGATTTTTTACATCTCAGATGCATCCGATGTGGATTCTCAAACGCAGCATACGTATGTTGGTAGTCCTGTCAAATTGTCACTTGTCACTTTGTGTTTCAACTGTCATCTAGACTAGACTGACAAATTTGTACTTGGATTTTGGGGGCCCGGGATTTAAAATATCGATATGTAAAAAAAACCCGGCTGCCAAATTTTATTTCCGCTTACTTGTAAATTTAATTTTGATTAGTTTTTACTTCTAAATAATGGAACAAGCATTAGTGGAAGACCTCGAAAACAAGGTTTGTCTAAAGGGAAATAACATACAGTACTACTACACAGTAAAGTTTGTAGTATACTAAAAAACACATTTTTAGATGAAAGAGACTGACGAACGTATGGGTACACTGGTAGTTCAAGTGAGTAATATAGAAAGTGAATTTTTCGCCGAAAACGGCGAACAAATTGAAGTTAACGACTTGTTAAAATCAGTTGGAGAAGTGAGATCAAATTATCAAAATTTACGCAAAGAACTACACGAAGTTCAAGACCTACAACGTCAATTAAGTACTTCATTAAATCTACAACTTAAAGTAATGCAAGCTAAGTTTAATTTGTTAAAAGAAAAAATAGAAAAAAGTCCCGTAAGGGGCCCGTTACCTTCAAAAAGTGTAAATGGAAGAGAACATTGAGGAATGAGGTATTCGCAGCTTTGCAGAAACCATTTTGGTACAAAACTGTAGAGGACCAGCCCTAAACAGCTTTTTGCTTATTTTATGTTGAAGTAGATCATCAGTTACAACAAAGCCCACATATAATGGGTTCCAAATGGGATAGTAGTTTATGTTTTCAGCTTTAGACGTTTAACACAACATTACACCTTTTATCATAATGCTGAGTACATATTCACACAGGTTAAAAATAACTGCCTTCACAGTAATAAATTGTATTTATCATTTCAAAAACAAAAAGACAATAGTTTATCAGTACAGTAATACCCGAAGTTGATCAAACTTCTTACTTAACAATTTGAATTAATTTTACAATTTATAAACTAGGTCATGATATATGAGCCAGGGTAGAAAACCATGTGTCTACAGCAGACGTGTTTTTTTTTTATTTCCATGGTTGTAGGATTTGATGGGTGGAGTATTAGCAGTAAATTAATTTCTGTTGATTCAGGTGTGTTATCCTGTTGATGACAGTATTTGGGATTTTCTATGTTTCCTTAAATGTAAGTCACCATCACTGTAGGGATCTGGCAAATAATAGTATCCATCCCTCCCTGCAGGATTTCTACTTCTGTGAATTGTAGGGAGATGATTATAGTACATATTAGGTTTTCCTGTGACCATTATATATTTGGTTACCAATCCTAAGAGTTATCCAATATTTTTATTTTGCATTAAATATCATTTTCTTCCATAATGGAACAATTTGATTTTAAATATTTGGTAAATTAATTTTTATAGTACAGAATTTTTTTTTGCTGTCTAATCTACAAAATTGAAAGCATCCTGAATCTTTTAAACTAACAAACACTAACTTTAAATATAGTCTTCTTTTATGTGATAGATTATTACTAAACTATACCTGCATCTAATATATCAAGTAGTAATAAAAAAATGCATCTACTACATATTGTGTTTTACATAACTAAGGGTGTTACTGTAGTTCAAAAGGAAATTAATAAAGTTCTAGCTACATACTTAGAAAATATTCCATCAGGGTTTGTTCTGGTTCTTAAATCTAAATAAAACCATTTCGAAACTGTACAAAAAAATTACCTCAGATTCACCATGTTTTATTATTTTAAACAAGTTGTTACCAGTTAGTTTATTGTACAAGTATTTCCAAAAATATTTTAAAACAGTTCAAACCTGTTGTTCAAAATATGGACGGACAGACAGATCTGAAATCTAAAGTAATACAAAAACCAGAGGACTTTAACTGCCAAAGGATCATCTTAGTTTTTCAAGGCCAGAACAAGCCGATAGAAATGTCACAAATTTAGTCAAAATCTAAAAATAAACAGATACAGTTTTAAACTCCATTACAGGGAGTGTTCTAAGAAACAGTTGACCAGTAAATAATATATCAGATAATAAACTATTTATTACTCTAAAATCGCTATTATCTGCTCCATTGTTTGGTCTCAATTCTATGTTAGTAAAGCCTGAATAAGCCACTAAGGATTGAAAATAATGTGGAATGGAAAACTATTCTAGAGTCTTATAGTTCGTTACTTGAATATGCATCACGTTAATCTGTTATAATTTCTACTGGTCAACTACTTCTCAGAGCACACTGGCTGTAATGCATTATATAAATAGCTGGGGCATATTTCATAAAACCACTTTGCAACTTTTCACTTTGCAAATTTACGAGTGCAAAATACTTGTGTTTCATACAATAATAACGTTACCTTTGCAGAATAATAATTTTTCATTTTTACTCTTTAAATTGCTTTTCAAATTTTACTTTTTAACTTGTCAAATTTCTCTTTTATTAAACATAAATTTACTAAAATATGCAAAGAGCAAAGTGAAAAGTTGCAAAGAAGTTTTATGAAATAGGCCCCTGGTTTATTTTTAGAATCTGTATATATGATAATAATTAAATGAATTGAACAAATAATATTCATAACATCTATATAATTCAACTGCTAGAGTATATACAAATCATTTTTAAAACTTTTAACATCGCCTAGCACTATAAAACCAATAAATTTCTACTGAAAACACTTAAAAATAAAATTAGACTTTTCAATTAATGTTTTTCCTACAAAATTTTATTATAACAATGTTTTGCCTTCTACCAACCATTTTTTTTTTAATTCAATATGTTCAACCAACTAAGTTGTCCTTAACCTTAGTTTTAACCACTTTTTTCTTCTGAAAACATTTTTGCAGACATTAAAAATAAATGAATACTTACATTTTTTAATTTGGTGTACACATTTCGTTTGCATGTTAGAACAGTAGGTTGACATTTTCGAAATTTTATTTGGCTTGAGTTTAAAAAGAATCTGAAAATAACATAACATTTAATAAATGATTAATGGTTTTTATTGACTATCACTATTTAACAATAATTAATTAGTTTTGTATAAAAAAAAACTACTGCCAAAAAGTCAAGTTCATATTTTTGCTCATATTCTTGGGACGATTCTCACCAGTGAAAGAAACGCATCACTTTATTTAAGTGCTTTAAAAGATATTACAAAAATCTTATCAAAAATATATATTCAATTTATGATTTTAATGTTTTTTTCAAAAAATAATGTATAGAAACATTAGAGATTCACATTTTAATCAAAAGATCTAATAGAAAATAAGTGTTGCATTATGAATTGAGTATTAAACCTTTTCAAACATTTTAATTTAATTTTTTTAAAAACTTAAAGAAAGGACATTTCGAAATTTTGACAAATAAAAATTATTACTAAGTATAACTATCCAAAATAAATTATTCGATTATTTTTTTATCCTAATAAATATAGCACTCATTATATTTTAACACAAAATGTATTTTATTAACTGTTAAGATAGCTTAAATATCAAAAATACTTTGACATAATATTTATTTTCAATTCATATTTTTATAATTTATAAAAGTACTTCTAAAACTTTGTATATAAATTTTCTTAGACTAGTATGATTTTCATGCTTGAACATTGAATATTGTGTCAGTATACTGCAATTCCAAACAATTCCAATGATCTATTAAAAAAGACTGTAGTTTTATTTTGGAGACTACCATTTAGAATTGTCAGTATACTGATGATTTTCTGTGAATGGTATTTAATTAATGG